TTACCCATTTGAACTCAATAATCTTTCCACAACCTTATTGGTATGTGTATGTATAATTGATACTCTTACACCCAAGAATTATACTCTTGATCTCCCATCTTTTACCCCAAAAATCAAAATTAAAGAATCAGGGGAAGAAATTCTTACCTCATTGAAGCCCTAACAAGATCCTTGTGAAATCTTCATGTCTTGAACAAGAATTGATGAACAATTGACTAAGTCGTCACTTTATCTCTCTAAGAAGCTCTCGCCACTCTCTAAAATATCAGATGAAACCCTTCAAAATGACCCCCAATAGTATTTTATAAGAATGGGATCGGGTTTATAAAACCAGAAAAATGAAGCTCTGAAACACACTCTGCGATCGCAGAATTGATATGCGGTCCGCATATCGGCCGCAAAAATTGGCGCCCAAAACTGGGGGTCGCCTTCTTGGGTCTGCGGTAGTTATGCGTCCCACAGACCCGTTATGCGATTGCAAATTGCACCGCATACTTGTTCTGAAATGCACCGCATAACTTCCCTCCGAAAAACCCAAGTTGATTTTGCGATAGGTTTTGCGGTCCGCAAAACGATTATGCGGTCGCATAATTGACCGCACAATTGTACTCTAACTTGTCTAATTTCTGCTTCACTTTGCGGCCATTATACGATCCTTAGAGTGATTATGCAGCCCCATAGTGGGCCACAAAAAGTTATTTTCCTGCTCGAAATTTTCTTTTACTCGCCAATGCATTGTTCAACCCAATTTCCTTAGCAAAAATTCTCCGGGGTCGTTACACATAAGTCAACATCCGGTCAACCTTTTGAACTTAAATTCTAAACCTTGGAACTAAGTGTTCCAAATCATTCCAAAACCTCACCGGACCCGAACCAATTACCCCCGGCAAGTCACATAACCAATATAAAGCATAAATTGAGCAGTAAATATGGGAATGGGCCTGTAATACTCAAAACGTGCCAAGCATCACGAGTATAAATGTATGGAAAAGAAAAGCAAAGTGAAAAGAAAGCAAAAAGCTAAGATATTGTATCCCCGGAATCTGGGGGAAGAGAAGCATCTGCACCTCCAGGAGAAGTAGGCGGATCTGCTGTCGGCTCAAGATCTTGTCCTTCACCATTATCCCCTTCAAGTTCTTCTTCAGTTCCCGAGAACTCGGAGCCGAAACTAGAAGACTCATTCGCATCAGGTTGGACCGAGAGACCCCTTCGGGCAATTGATTTTAGCTTACGGGCCTTGGCGATTTCGGCTTCAAAGTCAATGACCCCCGCTTTGGCATCTTCCAAGATTTTTCTCCCCGTGATATACATAGAATATGTATTTTTAACAATGAGGGAAGCCGCTCAGCGCTGAAGTTCTTCCTTAAGCTGGTCAACCTCGATCGAAAGGTTATCCGCTCAAATCTAGCGGACTTTAGGTTGACACCAAGGTCACGTATAGTGGAGTTATAAACTTTATTATGCTCTATGACCCTCTTATGCCTCTCTTCCAACCGGGCATCCTTTTCCGTATTAGCAGCAACTTCTTCGGCTTTGGAGTTCAAGGCTGCCTTCAAATTATTCATTATTTCGGTATAGGCAACCTCGCGATCCGCAGCAGCAAAAATAACATTTTGGACCTCGACCCACTTTGCCTTGGCATCTTCAAATTGTACCCTTAACAGGGCGACCTCTTGGCTGAGGGTCACCACCTCTTACTCGCTTTGCTGCAACCGAGTCTCCAACTCAACGGCCTCAACATCTTGTACTTCTAATGCAGGGAGGCGGGCATCAATTTGATCCCGCTCGGTCAACAATTGATCCCGCTCGTATATGAGTTTTTCTTTATCAAGGATCAACCTCTGAAGGCCCTTGGAAGCAAGGAAATTACCTGCAAAGCAAAAGTTCAAATTAAAACTCTTTTCATAGTAAAGATACGAGGAACAACAAAGGGAACATATATCTTACTGCTGCTGCGTTGTGCATGGCATTGTTTACTATACACTCTCCTGAGAGAGACTGTATTTATTCCTATCCTTCTCTGAATCCAGGGGCTTCAGGTAATTGGCAAGTTTCACTGGTCGGGACAATAGATGGCACCCGGTAGAGACTGATTGGTAAATGCTCCTCCTGCTCTAAGGATCTTCGGAGGGGGGAGGATAGTTATGCCCTAAATTCCCATAGACAGGAGACTGGGAAGGAGAGACATCCTCTTCTCAGGTGTCCGTGGCCGGTGGAGATGATGTAGCAGTTGCTAGTGGAGAAGGCACGATTAACGATGAAGGAGATGAAGCTGATGGAGTTGTAGGTTGAGAAGCACCTGCAGCGAAGGGAATGCTAGTTATTGTTTTCTCACCAACCGAAGACGGAAAATACCTGGTACCCAGCATCATGGTACCGGTAGCAGCGACATGGGCCCGGAAGCGAGATTTGGCATCTTCCACTCTATCACACTCTATCACACTCTCCCAGACTGCCTGGACATTTGTCCTCGACTGATGTAACTAGCTCAACAGTTTGAGCAGTCTGTTGAGATGATCAAGGTCGTCATCTTCTATGTAGAGAAGCCCTGTCATCACTGGCTCCTCCATCATCGTCGATCACCACAGTGTCTACAGGTGGCTCGGGCGTGACGCTCTTTACCTTTTTATTTTTACCCTCGGTCATAGAGGAGCGTCGCCTTTTTTGTTGCTTGTCCTCTGGCCGGGGACTCCGAAAGGAAGATTCACACTGAAAGCAGGTCCAATGACACCTGTTAGGACAAAGGCCTCCTACAACAACCTCACCGCATCTGCAGGATCAACCAAAATGTCCTCCTCGGGGATGGTAACCGAGCCCTACGGAAGATCTAAATTCAATAAAAGGAGAAGCTATCTAGTTTTCTTATTTGTGAGATAATGAACAAGATAAACCCAAGAATCAACTTACCATGATTTTTGGCCTTCCTCTTGTATTTGAGGGCTTGTTCTTTCCACCGGCGGGTCTCAAGCGTGGTAATATCCAAAATTTTCTGGACCCACTTATCCAAGCCTTCAACCCTTGGTGGTGTCTACCATGTTGCTGAAATAATGAAAAAAGAAGGATCAACGATAACATGAAATAACCTTTAACCAGAAGAAAAGATAGGCATTGAACTTACGTGTATGATTTCATGATTTAGGAAAGGATGGAGTTGTGGCCCAGATAATATCCCTGGTGGAAACTATAACGAACTGCTTCATCCAGCCACGGTCATTGTCGTCATCCGTGCTGGTGAGCAAAGCATGATGACCACGTTTACTAAAGTTTATCATCCCCTCATGAAAAATCTTGGGGGAATAAAGGTTCATCAATCGAGCCAGAGGGAGTTCTTCCCCTGTCTCCTAGTATAACCGCCGAAGACAAGCTACCGTACGCCACACAGAAGGGCTCACCTAAGCCAAGCAGACTTTATAGCGGAGGCAGAACTCCAAGATTACAGAGTCAAGCCCCCCGCTCAATAAAAACGGGCCTAAAGTGAATGGGTATGTGTAAATGTACGTAAAACCGTTCTTGGGGAAGGTTACCCGCTCCGCTAGGTCAAGAGCGATGATGTTCAAGTCATGGCATCCAAAATCTTCCTTCACAATAGGGATGCTAGAAGGACTGACGGAAGAAGGGTATACACCAACAACCCATGTGCAGGAGTTATAAAGAAGGGAACTTCTCTTCGAAGTCCCTAGTCGTAGTAACCTTTTTAGGGATAATGGTGCTCACTGTAGGAGGAGGAGCATCACCAGCGCTTTCTTTGTTCTTTGAAGAACTATAGTTTCTAAAATAGGAGGCCATAGTTAGCAGAAGAAAGTAAGGGTTTCTCTGAAGAATGAAGTTAAAAGTAAGAGTGAGTAGAGTAAAGAAAGTTTGAGATAGTTCGAAAAATTATGAAGTGTAAGAGAAGAAGATGGAAGCGTATAAGTAAAGGAATAGGCGACTAAAATCGTGACCATGATTATCTCAAGAACTGGAGAAAATATTGTTGAATCGTGGGATGACGCATGTTCGGGGAATTAAATGCAGAGAGACGTGCGTCTAATCAAGCGTAAGAAACTTTTTAGAGGGAGTCAGTAAAATTTCCGCCAAGAAAGGTATCTTTACCAACTTTTCGATGACACAAGGATGTGCCACCGGAAATCAGGGGGCTATCTATATAGGGTAAAATCAGTTTATATTAAATGCTCGTATAATAGAGTGACATGTGAAACCAGAGACATATGGAAAGCGAGACAGGTAGAAGTCAAGACCGGGGGCAGCAGTCTCGGCTGGCACCGGGAAGCTCCCGAAAGGAATGTTGCTCATGGAGACAAATGAATACCTGTCACCCGATAGCATTCAATAAAGAATATTTTGTAGATTAAATACAGAATCCGTTATAGAGAATATGAAATTCATAGCCTGCCGTTACACATTCTTCAATGGCCCCTATAATTATCATTTAAGAGGGATTTATTTCTAGTACCTTGTTCCCTATGTGCCACTATAAATAAGGATTCCAACAACCATTGTAGGGACATGAATTTTCTGACCAACTTATGCTATATAATGTTCAAAACTTAATAACACTTTATTTTCTTGCTTCTTAATATCATTATTATTGTTTTCAGAAGCGTTGCTCATGGAACAAAGCTCTTTACTGTCTTATCTCGATTTCAACGCTAAGTCTTACGTTCTTAATTAATTAATTAATTTATTATTTTGAGATCAAATCAATTCGCTTATTTATAAACCACATATAAATTCAACCGTACCATTTTACGAGTAAATAATATTACGATTTAAGTAAGATATAATAGGATAGTACAAATGAAATTTAAACTACCTTTGTAGTTTAATTAACTGATTAGAGCAAATTACTTACCATCTTCTTTCAAATTACCAACTTACCACTTTTAACCTTTCGCGAATTTGAGCGTCTACTCCGCCTTTTTATTTATTTATTTATTTTTTTTTCTGATGGACGCTCATTTGGGTTTGTTTTCTTTTCCAGTGCCCCATTACAGGTTTTTCTTCCTTTTCGCTTAGTTTTCAAAGATATCCCAAATATGTTATTTCTTTGTTTCTCCTATTTTCGGTCGTAGCTTTTGAGATCGTATCAAAGTTTTCCATCTTGACTCCAGTTTGTTGATGTCTTCTATGATTTTTGATTCTGGTTTAATTTTATTCTGATTTTTTCTTTCTCAATTTGGTTGAGTATCTAAAAGTGTGTGCATGAATATCAAATTGTCAATTGTTGCTATGTTTTTTTAGGATGAATAGGTTTTTTGAAATGCCTATTAAGGATGAAATTGGTAAACATGGATAAAGAAAAATGCAAAATCTATTTAGCAAATAAAAAAACCAGAAGACTTACATCGTTGGGCACCCTCTGTTCTCTTTGACCTATGGTTCCTTCCTACGGTTGTGGCACAATTTGTTGTGTTTTTGTTTTAAGTTGTTTTAATTTTTTCCTTGGTACATTGCAGAATTGTTAAAGCAACAAAATATTTGTTCAACGATGCTAGCAGAAATGCTCCTTGAAAATGAGGTAACTCCCTCCTTTGCTGGAAGTGCCCTGAAAAATAAAAGTCTGATCAGCACCATGACAAGAAGATGATGGTAAATTCTATTGTGGATGTTGTTATATAGTGCTCTACTCTTCTCACGACAAGAAAGAAGATTCATATTTATGTTGCTATATTAAATAATGAGATCCTTCTGAACGTCACATAGCTATGGCTCTTTGGATCAACATTTAATTGAATCTAGGACAAACTATTATTACAAATACAAGGTCGGATAACTCATTATAAGAATTGGTGTTTTTAGAACATACCATGCAGCACAACAAGACTATAGCAAAGCGTCAATTGGATTATTCAGCTAATGTCAAAGTCAGGGATAGTACAAGAAGGGGGCTTGTTAAAAGCCTGCAACTCAATTTCAGGAGCGTAGGGTATGTACTTTTGTGGAATTTATAACTAGATGCAACACAACGCTTACATCGGGCCGTGTAGTTTGAAAATTGAAGGTTCTCTCATTAGGAAGTGCCTCAATATAAAATGCTATACAAAATATACCAACATAGAGGAAGCATCATAAATAACATCCCATAAAATGCAAAATTTATTGTACATGGAAAGAAAGAAAATATCCACTAAAATTATTGAGTGATTTATTGAAACCCATAATCCTCATCTTTTTCGATAACATCTTCCATGATGACAACACTGTAGGTTCCATAACTTCGACTTTATTCTTTTTGATAAATAAACTAAATATTTTTATTTTATGTGGTAACTGTGTCAAATATATTCTCGCAGTTTGAAGAGAGCCAGAATCAACTTTTACTTTGATATTTTGTCCCAACAAATTCTATTTTGTGTTACGGGTTATAAATTGTTGTTGTTTATATTAGAAGAGTGAATATGATGTTATATTTTGTTCTTCCTTGTGTAGCTCAACAATTCGGGACAAAATAACTCCTCATGTATGGTTTACTGGTGAGGCTGCTGAAGGAGATTCAATCTGAAAATATAAAAGATGTTATCAAAGAAGATGCGGATTAAGAAGATGACGAAGACAAGGATGAAGAGGAGATGAAGGAAAAGAAGGTGAAATTTATTTTTCCTGCTTTTACAAAGTGATTCAATTTGTTCATGTTAATTTGTGCTGGGATATTCTAGTGAATGAGGGTTCTTAGATTTTTACAAATTCTGTTTGCAAAGTAAAAGTTGATGTGTGTCCTTTATCAGCTACTACATTTCTACTATATAGAAGCATGAAAAAGATTCTTAGTTCGACGTGTGTGCTTTTAGGTCATTTATATATTATCGATCGCAATTTAGTCAATTTGCATTTTAGCTGATGTATACATTTCTAGGTGGCTTTCGTGCCTACAGCCAGCACATAGCCACCGCAAAGCTTCCTCCATTCTACTTTTCCGGTTCCATTCCATTCCTTTTCGAGTTAATTTCTGTCTTTTCAGATTACTCTTTCAATTTTCAGGTAAGTTACTACTCCTATTTTTTGCCAAATCTTCTTTTTTACTTCAATTTACATGTATGTATGATGTTCTGTCATCTGAATTTTTTAGAGTTTTTCTTTCTTTGGTTATTCAATCTGATCTTAGTGTCTGGGATAAGAAAGTAGACTTATATCTCTCACCGGAAAAATGGTGGAATTCCAGATTTTGTTCTTTTTGGTTTCCTCCTATACATTGTATACAGGCAAGTTTTTTCTCAGATTGTGTGCAATATTATGTTGCATACTAGAAATTTTACCTTCGTTCCTATCTATCTATTGTAGGATAAATTTGAACCAGCAAAGAATTTAGTAGCTGACTCTCCTTTTTCCGCCCCATTTGTAGGTTCTACATGGAATGGCTATTTACTTTTATATTGAATTAATTTTAAAGGCAAGAGACTTAAAGTTATGATTTTGATGAATAGGTAAAATTGTATTTGTCTATTGAGGTAGCAGATACTTTGGCTTGATTCAATGGAGTGTCAATATTTCTCCTGCTTAAATTTTCTAAAATGGAACACTTAGTGTCTAATGGTTTGTCTTTTTCACTATGAATGGGTTTGACGAAGTTTCCTTGGTTGAATGCAATTATGGATAACATATCGCTGACCATTAAAAAAAGGTTTAAAAGCTGATTCTTTCTAAACCCAACTTTAATATAAGTAATAATTTTCCAGCAATTGATTTCGTTATGTCCGATTTGAACCCTGAAGATCAATTCTATTCTATTCAGGTGGTTTTGATAGAACTACATGTATGTATGTCATATTATCTTTGTCCATGTTGATGTACTTATTTGTTCATAAATTTTAGGTTGTCTGTCCTTGATGTTTTGTTATGCACTTAATATTAGGAATGACTTAATGCTGAAGTGGTCGGGCAACCCAAATATAGTGTTAAGTATTGGAAACAAGCTACAGGCTTTCGCTTATTCTCAAGTTTACATATCGCAATGCGTCTCTTCTTAGCTGCTCTGTGTATTCTGAACATTGATGGTAACTCATGTTCTCTCCTAAATGAGCTAAAACAACAGAAATCGGCAGAATCACTTTTTTGGTGATTGGATCTATGAAGATATATGGATAAATAAGCTGTAGAGTAAGCGAAAACATATAATATGAACGATTCTACAAATGAGATTCAAGTGTGTAAGAGAAACAAAGGACCGACCTAAACTTTCTAAATGGTCCAAGAAGATCACGTTTATATGATGTCTCATCTCTTCAAGATACATAGTGTTGGAATATGATTTAGGTGGTAAAAACTGATTTGGGATTAATCTATATCAGGTGGGATCTGCAGGGGCTTTGGATGCCGTTTTGCATTTGAAGATGTTTCATTGTAAGCTATTCTAGATCTTAAATCTATTTCTATTATAAATTTCTTAATTATGCCGAGATTTCATGATATTTTGTACAAGAATATGTGCTTGATATATATGTTTAGGAATTTATGCACTCTAAATATGACAACCCTTTGGCCTGATCATGGAAGTACATATATAGATCTTAGACTCAAGTCAACTCTTGAATATTTAAGACCTTCATGTACCATAAAATCTGTGTAGCTACATAGAAGCTCCATGGCACAAGTCCCAGTTTGTAATAAGGACTATGAAAGACGACTATCTCAAATTCTTTTTCATGGAGCAATTCCAAATCACGATTCAATGACATCCAAGTTTGAGGAATTCTCACATTTGCAAGCTGCTTGTGCTGCTCTAAAGGGGTAATGTGTTTTATTATCGACCTTTATGTTTTCCTTGGTAGCCTTTACTTCTTTAAGATGAGTATTGTTATTTTTAGTCTTTCATGCAACAGAGTCGAACGCTTTGATCTTGATTAAAATATATCCTCCGGTTTGGTTGACCTGGGAATCAGAATCCTTGAGCATGACCAAGGACTGTGCTTTGTAAAATTAATGTGCAAAAAGACTGATCTGCATATATAAACACACAGAAATTTGTATATGTTTGAGCTACTACTTCTCCGTAAGCATCACAAAGACGTCCACAAAGAATATTGAAAAATTCAAAAATCTAGAACAAAATGATAGTGTGCTAAAATTAGTATCTAAAGAACTCCAAAATCAGGATGCTGCTATAGACCATGCTCTTCTTATATTACTTCTTGCTGGTCTTACGAGAATCAAATAAGCAGTAGCACCGAACCTTCATGTGACTTCCTCAAAATCTCTATGAAGCAAGTCTTGATTGTCCCGACTCTGTATGCAGTGGTGAGATTTGGTTTTTTATCGAAGAATGTTATATAAGTCTCGATCTTTGATCTTGAAACGTAGACATGACTATTAAAGTAAAATAAAGTTGGAATGGGACAATATTTAATAGCTAATGTCTCCTTTTCTCTGTAAACATGATGTCATTCTCTTATATTTCTTCTCCTCTAGGTACATAGTTTTCCTTATTTATTTTTTGTACAGTTAGTTTTCCTTCATTTTTTTCCCCTTCACTTTGTAATTTATGTGAACAAAGGGATTCTTTTAGATGCGCTTACTTTGATCTTGGTTCTCACAGATGTATTTACCTCCTTCTTATGTATTATTTAAATAATCGTAGTGTCTTAAGTTGCTCCTCTCTGTTTCATCTAGCCAGAGATTTTTGTGGGTTCCTTGATGGAGATTTTATCAACCGAGCCCCTTAAGTAAAACATTGTCTTTCTTTAGAGTGTTGCTTTGGACTTTTTTTTTACGTGGGTTTTTTTAGTTTTGTGATCACTTTTTCAATATCATAGATTTCCCGTTTGTAGGTTTTCGAATGTATTCTCACTTTGTTCGTGATGCAGGAAACCCCTCCAAAAAATTTGTGAGGTAACCCTCGAGGACCGTTCTGACTATAGATATACTTCAACGGTAATGCATTCTTCGACATGTTGTACATTGGATGAAGACCACAAAGTAAATAGATTGAGGTTACAAATGTCGTTTGACGTAGTTTTGAATGTATCTACATTTGGACTATATAGAACTCTCCTCAATGCATGAAAATATTATTAAGTGTTAATATGTTGTAAAGTTTTAATAACTTGACAATAGTGCTTCCTTTTTCAATAATCTTGTTAAATGCTTGAAATAAGTATTAAAATATTTTTTCTATGTTTTAACTTTTTTCATTAATCTCGTAGATGTGCAATACAGAAAGAAAGTTGTCGGGCACGGGCACGGGCCATCTAGTATCATCTTGTTTTTTTTATTAAACAATCTTATACTTAAAAAGTATATAT